ATATTTTACTTTATTTTTATTAAATTAAAAGCTACAGTTTGGCGGCGGTTCCAGAACAGGGTAAGGAGGCTCCTTATAGGGGGCAGAGAAGAGCGGGAGACAGACTGACAGAAACAGAGACACAGGAAAGGGCGAAGTTAAGGTAGATGGGGAATTGGTTCTGAAGAACATACAGGGCCAGCTCCAAGGGGGCTCACACCAGCTAGATTCCCCCTCCCCTGCACTGAAGTGGAGCAGTGGAGCAGTAGGGGGTGGGAGTGGGGGGTTCAAGACCCCCTCCCCTCCCCACCCAGGTTCTTTCTCAGCTTAGTCACTGGAGCACAGCACATACCAGAAAAAGCCAAGGGCAATGGAGGGGGCAGGAAGACTGGGAGTATGTACACCAGAGGAGGGGAGCAGAGCCTGAGAAACAGCCTCTGCCAGAAGGGAGCGGCTACCCCTGCACTGAAGCACTTGGCTGTGGGGGACAGAGGACTGCCCCCTCCCTCTCTGAACTCCTTCCCCAGTCAGACAGATCCCCTACTGTGTGGTATGGGGGGGCAGGGGGAGAGAGAACAGAGGCTTCTGTTGGATCCTAGTGGAGGACAACGGCAGGGGCCTTGGCAAAGGGGATGTCCTTCAATCATCTGTGATACCCTTGGCTCTCAGCTCCTCTTGCACCCGGGTCAGGTAGGTGGGGTCTGGGTACCCAAACCTGGAACCAAAGAAAAGTGAGGGTCAGGTTAGCTGCTTGGCCTTACTCATATTACCCCCATGCTCACACTCATTTTGGGTACCCCACTGTGGCCCCTCTTCTCTCTCCCCTAATGTAATCCAAACCCAAGAGAACTTAGCCCATTTCTGCTTATTTTTGTAGGTTAAGCTGGGCATATCAGGACCAGGTTAAATGTAAAAGAAACTGGGATGGAAGAGATGGTTGAATAGTTTGGGGCTGGTCATCTCCAATTAGGAGGCTCCCAGAGAGAGAGAATTGATGATGTTCCCTCAGTGGAAACGGACAGAAAGGGAGGAGCCAAGTAAAGGGAAATGAAGAAGTGTCCCACAGCTGGGGTCCCCCTGTGCAGCTGGTCTTGTGGTGGATGTCGTTCCAGGTGATGACATTCGGTCTCCCTGTGGTCATGGACGTGCCAATAGTGAAGGTGAGACGCTGGTCGAACGCCTTTCGGAACAGGGTCAGCACCTTGTTGCCCTCAGGGCAGTCTGGGAGGTAGGCCACCCGTGTGGTGCCAGGATACCGAACTCCAGGGTTTGGGTGTTCAGCCTGGGAGTAGGGGGAAGCAAAGTGGGCAGTGAGTAGCTGGGCATCTTAAGGCCATGATGCCAATGGAGGGTCATCCTGGCCAGCCTTCTGTCTGTGCACACCCAGCTAATGCTGACAGGGCAGCGACAGGCTGACAGCTTTCAGGCAAGGAGACTGTAGTGTCTGGTAAGCAGAAGCCTCTTTCTGGACAAAGTCCTTGTTGTTAAGAGGTTCTTTCTCCTGGTCTCAATCCTTCAAGTTTCAATTCAGCAACAAATAGAGTCTCAGAAGTGATTGAAGGTAGCTCTGGTCCTTACTCTCCAGATAACTCAGCAGAAATGTGAAGACAGGCTAATTTATCTTTCAGCTTTCCCTTCTCTACCTGAAAACACTCTCCCAATGCTTCTTCCACCGTCTAACCTGTTCCATTTTTCTATTACTCTTCTTCGGAGTTTCCTCATCCCTCTGCAAAGCAGAACTGGAAATTACTCTTTGTCAAGCAGGAAGACACCTGTAGACTCTTGCCCACTCCTGTTTTAACCTTCCACTGTTATCAAGGTTCTCCTCTCATAAATTTGGAATGGAGTAACACTCCCAACTCTGTGAGAAAGGTTAGATCCCTTCCTGCTGTGTCTGCCTGCACCTGAGCCACCATCTCTACAGAGCTGGGAATAGTATTTAATTCCTTTCTCTGATACCTGATTTTCATGTGTGCTTTGGGGTTGTGGGAATGGAAAAGCTAGGCCTTAAGGGTACCTCCTAGCTCCAGGGCATTGAGTGGGAAGGCATACAGCAAAAGGCATGCAGTGGAAACAGCAAAACAGTATCACATCTAAAAAACACACTCCCCCTCCCCCAGCTATCCTAGTCAGAGAAGGAGCTGAGGAGGGAGGGAAACAAAGGGTAAGGGCAGGCAGTAGTCTCCTTACCCCCTGGACGCCGGGCGGGAAGACATACTGGATGACGATGGTGCCGTACTTCTCATAACTGGGCAGTAGGAGTGTGGCGTCCTTAGAGACCAGCATCCGCCCATTCTGGGGTTGGTTGCCTACCAGCTGCCCATAGAAGCGGCCACACATGGGACAGGCCTTTTTCACCTGCAGGGCCCGGGTGATGCAGCCTTCACAGAACGAGTGCCGACACTTCTCCAACGTCTTGGCGTTCTGGATCTCCCCCAGACAGATGGGGCAGGTACTCTCCTGCTCTTCTGCCTCCTCTCGAAGGCGGGGAGGAAGTGGAGGGGGTAGGGGAGGCGGAGGGGGAGGAAGACCCCGTGCCCCTGGGGGCAGAAGTGGGGCTGCTCGGAGAGGGGGTGGGCCTGGGCGGTGCAGCTCAGGGTGTTCCCCTCCACCCCCCAAAGCCAGGCAGCCCATAAGCTCCCCCTGCCTCTGAGCTTTCTTCAGCTCTTTCTCTGCCTCTTTTAGCAGCCCCTTAAGAGCCTTCCGGGCCAGGTAGAGCCCATTGGGAGGAGCTGGGGGAGGGCCCTGTGGGGAAAGCTGGAGAACATAGATGTCAGAAGTCTCGCCATCTATGAGGATGGACACACGATGCTCCTCCCGAAGCCGGGCCAGCCGGGCTGGGGTCTCCTTGCTCAAGAAGTCCCACACAGGCTTGGAGACAGTCACTTTGGTCTTGCAGGTGCCTCCACAGGCTGCCATTCTGGACAGGACGAACGACACTGCCCCCAGGGTGAAAGGGACTCAGGGTGGGGGGTCCCCATTTGACAAACATCAGTGCCTCCTACTTCAGGTTCCTTTCCAACTTTGTATAATCTCTGCTCTCTCAAAGTCCAAGGCCCAACTAACTCCTCCCTCCAGTTCATTTTTTATCTCCTCTTCTCTTGCAAACTGCAGCGCCCACTGAAGAGCAAGACAGTTTCTATAACATTATTATTCTCATCTAAACCAAGCATCAGTCTTGGTTCCCCTTCCACTCCTCCCAAGATCACAGAAACAATCTGCCCCTCCCCCCTCTGAGTGAAAACTGGCTTCTGTAAAAGGGAGGGAGAGTTTTGACCCTCCTTTTTGCTCACTTTGATCCTGAAGAGCTTAGAAATGGCATGCAGGCTCTCTCTCTGTCCCTGCTTCCTACTTGTAGGTAGTGTGACCTGGTGGGTGGACAGGAAAAGGAGGGAAAGTGAGTACCCCCTTGCCCCATTCCCACATGCCCCAACCCAGCAACCCACATAACAGAGATAGGAACCTGGATGTAAATTACTGGAAATGGGATCTTGGAACATAGAATGGAGGAAACCAATTTAAAGGTTGAGGTTCCCTTGGGAGGCTGATACCTTGAACGCCCATGAACAATGATAGCGGCAGAAATCCCTCTATTTCCACACTCAGCTGACCAGGTCTGGGGGGGAGGGTAAAAGGTTATGATGACAAATGTTACCATCTTCCCCAGTCAGCCCAAAAACAAAAGAAAAACTCCTCTTCCATTTCCTCTCCTCTCCTGCAGAATTCCATCCCCAGCCTCTCCCCAAGTTGCTAAAGAAGAAATTTCAACATGCTAACTTTTCTTTTTTCTTCCCCAGCTCTGAGGCTGTCAAGAAAGCCTAGGGGACAGATAAGTCAGGAAGGGAAAAGCCTACACAGATGGAGGTCTTCCTTGCCATCTCCCTCAGATCACATGGACAAGAATATTTCCTATGTTCCCCAACTCTTCACCCTGCTTCACATTCCCAAATAATTCAGCCCCTATTGCTGGGGAGCCTTCCTTGAAAGCCAACCCAGTTTCTATTACTGAAGTCTGTTTGGAATGCAAACTAAGTGGCAGCAGCCCCTGCAATAAACAAAGTTCTCACAGTCACCTTTTAAACCCAGCACACCAAGTGCAAGCCTGTCAGCGAGTAGTCTGTATTTAGGGAGGGGTGGGGCTCACACAGGGGCTCCACTGGAGAAGTTTGATGTTTCCCCCCGAGTCTTGCCATGCTCAGCTACAGAGCTGTCCCTACAACACCTCCAAATGCAGCTCAGATAGAAAGAGGGGCCACTAGTGTGACCTCAGTTCTTTGATCCCAAGGGGAGCAGCTCTCCATTTGTGCCTCCATCATAGTCCCTTCAAGGCCAGAAGCATCTGGAGATTCAGAAAGTGAAACTGGAGCCCTAGAGCCTCAGCTCATACTGTCTTTCCAGGTGGACCCCCCCCCCCC